AAAAAAAAAAAAAAAAAAAAGTGCTTCGACGGAAGCGGGGAATGATATCTCGATTCTAATGATAATATCAATGCAAGTTACTATTTTTTATCGTTTAAGCTCGCCTTGTTAACTATGTACAATACCCGAGTCCGGTGATATTCGTCTCGGTTGAGCCATAAATATCATTTCGAGCGTGAATACGTCAACGAATATCCAGGCTAAATTGATAGAAACCCTGAAAACGTGAGGCCCATCTTTTCTATAGTATAACAACGTTTCTTTAAAGCTACTCTGCGAATACACATACTTATCGCGCGAATATTTCAATTTGATCAGCGAGCCGAATGTGTTCCATTCATTGTAAAATTTGTAGAGAGATTAGAGAAATAATCCTAACTCCCGTTTTCGATCGTCCCTTGTGCATAGATAATTGACAATATTTCAGCGACAATTCCTAAAGTATCATGTTTTTTTCTTTTTTTCTTTCTCTTGCCTATAACTATAGATCGCGGTAAAAATTCTCTACTCTACAGCTCGTTTTTTTTTTCTTTTTCTTTTTCTTTTCTTTTTAAACCACAAGCGAGATTAATCGTTCAATCGTAAACGCGCGTTTTTAATTACCGCTAATTACCGAAGCGACCACTCCGACAAGCTGTTTTTCATAATATGAAAAATTTGTCCAAAGCCATTTGCCAGCTCGATTCCGAAATAGAGTAAAAGAGAGCACCGCAGCAGCATCTCAAGAACAAATATTTGTCGATTGTACGTGTCAATTTCCCTTGTCCGGAAATCAATTGCTCGATCAAAACTATTCTTTCGATGGCAAAAGTCGTCGGGAGTTATATATAGCTGAATCGTGTAGAGCGATGGCGTGGTGTAATTTTCGTTCTGTTCACGTGAGATTGTTAACTCTATCAAGAATACTCCCTGTCGAGGAAAGAATTTATTAGAATGAGAGCCTCGATGAAGCTTGAAGAAGTGGATGAATCGTGTTAGCGACGTCGATCTCGTTTCGTCGAACGAGGAACGACGTTTATGTCGATTAGTGAGCGTTGTCCAATGTGGCCTCTGGATGATAGTAGACTGAGTACCTTGCTGGAACGACGAGGGCTTCAAGCTCGGCGGTCAGGTGTCGTCTGATCATCTGTTTAGCCGGTGGTATGCCCAATGCTGTGGCCATGGTGTCGCCGGTGAACGATGGCTCCAGCACGACCAGAGCACCATGCACGCCCGAATCTGTTCGCGACAAACGAGGAAAACAGAACAATTGGAAATTGAAGATTCTTCTTAACAGCCTTCGTCGCACTGGACATTATTAAACTGCCGGTTAAAATGACCAAGAAAATCGTAAATTTTACCTTTCAAGTTCTCAGCATATTCGGTCAGATCGATGTTCCTCGCCCATCGGATGAACCTTTGATTCGTCCAGACCAGGGGGTCCGTGTCCATTTGTTCGCACTGGTGTCTTCTGACTGCGAGCGCCTATTGTAAAAGAAAAAAAAAAAAAAAAAAAAAAATACGTTCAACGTAGGACAAATTTACACCCCTAAATTTACACAAATTTACACGAAACT